CCTTAGCCAGTTCCCTGCTTCAGCTGGAAAGGCTCACTTCCTGCAAGACATCCCCAAGGAGAAGCCGCAATGCAGCCTTGGGTGCTGGATCACCCGTGTGGACACCCCTGCCAGTACTGAGATGCTAACACTTTCACTGACTCGACTTTCCTCCTGCAGTCGGCATTACTGCGTGTGTTTTGTGAGATGGAGGAGAACTTTGTGGACTGGTGTTGGACATACGGGTTAATGGGTTAATGTTGGACTTGTGGGTTTCGGCAGCACTGGGTTGGGATGTTTTCTTGATGTGCACTTACCCTTTATATAAAACTCTCTCTTGTACATATGAGTTTCTGTGGATTTGTTTCTCTAACGTACCCAGACTAACACAGATGGCTTCCCCCAGTTGCCCTGCTTCAGAAACTTTCCCTGGGATCCACAGATGCCTGAGAGCCAGAGGCCAGAGGAATGTACAGTGCACTGAGAACAGTTATGGAAATATCTCTGAACTAGTTCACCAAGCCTTTATTGTAATAACTCATTCCCTTCCATGCAGTACTACGGTGTAAAATAAAGGAAACCAACACAGTTCCCCTCCTCTGGGATACCTCAGACATATCCCCTGACAACAATACTACTTTTACATTCATAGAGAGGGATACACATCGAATGAACAAATAAATTAATGTAGCAGAAAAGAAATGTCAGAATTGGGGGGTAAGAGAAGAATTAACCATACTGTATACAAGGGAGAAATAATTTTTGTCAATCATTTTCCAATGGCCAAGGTGTTTGCGAAGAGTTGTCGACAGTTTCCTGAATAAATCTAAAGAAATCTTTGATGGGTTCCCATGGGTTTAAAGTCCATATAGAAAGGAGACTTCCCAAATCCAGGTACAGTTTGAGGAGCGGTTTAGAAGTGGGAGAGGGTGACTGTTAAATGGAGTTTGAAAACATCTTCTCCTCAAAGGAGACGATCTCACTGCAGAAGTAAGATGTGAGGGACAACTCCAAGAACGAAATCCTCTGGGGCAGTACTCTTCTGCTGCGTTCCCCGGATGGGCCCTCCTCAGGCAGGGCAGGAACAGTCTAGGTAGGATTCTGTCCTCTTGTAGCTGAGGGCAGGCTTATTTTGAGTTTTTCCAGGCTGGTGCTCATTGGTGACTTCACTGAAGTCAACTTTCTATTCTTTTCTTTTATCTCCCTGAATCAGCTTAAGGTACTCTAACCACTAAACTAGTACTGGGGTGGGACTTCAGGGAAAAGAGGTGATAGAACACTTCTTAGTTTCTAGAATTAGTGACGGGGGTTTCACAGGGACTCCCGGGCCAGAGCCATCCTCAGTGGCAGCCAAACCCTGATGCGGGACAAATCAGTCTGGATATGCTCCCTCCTGGACTGTGTTCTTCTTGACCTTGCCTGCTCTGACAGCTGTATTGACTTTCTTGTCAAATGTTTCTGTTGGACTGAACCTGTTCCAAGACCTTTTTATCTCTTTTTAAAAAATCCTGTTTAAAGAAAGAACGAGACTGAGACCTATCAACTATCTACTTATTGATCATCTTTCTATGTACATGTATACACAGAACAATATGTGTACATATATATATATGCGCACATATTCATAGTCACATTGTATATCTTTGTTGTAGCTTTAGTCATTGATGGTGGTAGAATAATGATTCTAAGGAGATCATTTGGTAGTGGCAGCTGTGTTTCTCAAGCACAGGTTTTTAACTATTCTCTGTTTTGGTTTCCTCTGGTGTATATTTGGTGTAGAGCGGCATATACTTACACCTACAGTAGAAGGCTAGAGAGAGAAAATAAATTAATACAAGGAAGCCTCAAAAGATCCACGGAAAACTGGAATGAAAATATAATGGAGTTGTTCCATGACCTTTTTGAAGCCCCCTCATACATGTAAAGCACTTAAAGAGTGCCTGATACATAATACACATTGCTTAGTTATGATGATGAATATTGTAGCTAGTATAAATGCGAGCTAGAAAGTACGATTCTAAAAGTTAGGATTAATTGAGTTGCCGTCGGGTGAAATGTCTCAAGTGGTTGAGTAACTATGAAGTCCAACTTTGGCCAACTCCTGTTTAAATGTCAGGCAGGTTTTGGTGTGCTGGCATCAGCAGTGATTACGCTGGAGCAGGTTTTACGAATGCCAAGGGCACCTGTCCTGAAGAGACCCCAAGATGCCAAATGAGAAGTCACAGTGAAAATCTGGTTGAGCTCTGCTACCCCAAATCCTTGGCATTTGCTGATGCAGGCCCTTCAACTAAACACTGTGTGCTTTAAGAGAGAACCCTTTTGTGAAGAATAGTGAATCCCTGATAGAGCGTTAAAGTCCCTTTCTTCTTTCTAATTGTCGGTGTTGTCCCAAAAGTTACTGTGTTGCTTGAGAATATGTTATAGACAATAAAGTGAGAAAATTTAGCAAGTGGACCCCAAATGTCAGTTACTTAATGACTGTTTCCAAACACATGTGAGAAACTTGGACGTCTCGTGCATATGTTTCCATTGAAGTCGGTGGCAGATTCTGGGCACCATCACACCAACAATACATATCCATAAGCAGTTTCCCCAGGGAAATGCCTGTGGTTTTGACTGTAATTGCCAACTTGTTCCCCTCTTACTAGTTCCAAGGAGGGGGAATAACAAACAAAAGGGCTGTCCAGTGTGTTACTGCCTCCTATACAAACAAATAGGATCCTTGGGGTTTAATTAGAGAACTTCTAACTACATACATCTAAGGCATGCTAATGCTCCTGGACATCTGGAGGAGAAGTCTGGATTGGACACTTGCCCTGGAGCGATTCAGTCCAAAAAATAGTGGCTGTCCCGAAGAGAACTGGAGCTCACTCTTGAGCTTCATCCGCAGGCAGTCGTGACAAAGGTAAACGTGAGTGAGCCTGCAACGCAGAGCAAGCCAGGCTGTTTAAGGCCACAAGGAGTCTGGGGTGATGAGGGGCTTCCTCGGCCTCAGCATCAGAAGGAGATGCAATTTCGAAGGAAGAGCCGGAGCAGAAATCTTTGGTTTCCCTGGGCAACCACAAACGTGGCCTCGGGAACTCAGCCCTACAGGCATCATCTCAGGAAAAAATGATGGAAGGGCTACCTGTAGAAATACAGGCTCCAAGAAGCACTAGCCTCTCACTTGGTAGGAAAGGCTTCAAGACAGCAAAAGGTACAGAAAAGCATGGGCGAGTGAGTTAATTGTGCCAGCCTGACCGATAATCACCTGTGGTGCTGGTTGAAAGGCGGAGGGATAAATGGGTGGTGAAGCCTCGCCTTTCTAGTTCTCGGGTCTCTTGTTTTGTGATGGTTGCATCGGGTGCAGCTGCCTTAGCAGTTCCCTGCTTCAGCTTGCAAGATTGACTTCCTACAAGACATCCCCAAGGAGAAGCCACATGGATCTATCCCGATGCAGCCCTGGGTGCTGGAGCAGCCGTGTGGAGACCCGTGCCAGTGCTGAGATGCTTACACGTTCACTGACTCAGCTTTCCTCCTGCAGTCGGCATCATTGCCTCTGTTTTGTGAGGTGGAGGACTTTGTGGACTGGTGTTGGGTATGGGTTAATGTTGGACTTGTGGGCTTGGGCAGCATTGGGTTGGGGTGTTTTCGTGATGCACATTTTCTTTGCATAAAACTCTTATCTATGAGTTGCTGTGCATTTGTTTCCCCAAAGTACCCAGACTATTACAGTGAGAGAGCATGGTTCTTTCTTTTTCTTGTCCCTTTTCTCCACCACGAAGGTCAAACTGTCACAAAGATGTATGCATGCATATGCCCTGGGTAATGCAAACAGTTTGCACCAACTACTTGACTACTGACTACAACATTGCTAATTGAGCACCCCTTGCCCTACTCCCTTGGCCCCAGGAAAGGAACAGCTGCCAATCTGTTTCTATAGAGATGGTAGCCCCAAGAACCTTCTGGATAAGCTCTCTTCTATAACACATGGAGCTTGTCATGCATCGAAATCGGCTTGATGATGGCAATAGGGGTGTGTGTGTGCCCATTTAAATGTATATGTATATATTTAAATCCGTTATAAATATCTTTTATCCCAATAGAGGAGACATACTAGTAAGTGGGCAGGGCTTAGGCTTCTGCTTTTTCTTTCTTTCCAAAACTGTGGATGGAACAAAAATGAAAGATGAAAAAATAATTCATTTCTTAGGTGGTTTTAGTAAAAAGTGGTCCTCATCCTTTATAGCAAATGCCATGGAAACGAAATTTTGTGTACCTAAGGAATAAATTTCAGAATTTTGGCATATTTTCTCTTCCCTCCATAAAAAGATAAAGATACAGTTTCTAAGTTTCCTGGGCTCCGCATGGGATGGCAAAGGAAAAAGACACCCTGTCTTCCACTGCCTCATAAGCAGGTGAAAAGTGGACGATGACTATTGGAGATCAGCAAAGAACTGATGCCTTCCAACTGCGGGGGCGGCAAAGGGCCTTGACTAGACTGCACTGAGGGAAGAACCAACCAGTTGTTCAGGAAGAAGAGCAACTGGAATGTCCCTGAGCAGGGAGGACGGTGCTGCCGCTTTCACATGACTTTGGACATGTCCTTCGGAGAGACCAGGGCCTGGAAGAGGCCCTGGGAGGACAGGACAGGACAGGACGGAGCAGGATCGTAGGATCGCTCTGTGGCAGAACTGACTCGATGTTACGGAACAACAACCATGTAAAACCCTTTACAAGGAGCGAGCACAGCTTCATTGTTTATTCTAGAGGCAGGAATCAATGGTGTGGAAAGGCAGTGTGCGATTTGTTGGGAAGGTTTGGTACTTAGGATCTGGTGGCCCATGGCAGTTCATGCATTCTCCTTACACAGGTGTGCATGCAGGAGTGAATTGATTCATGAATACTCCACCATGAGATGGAAAGTGAAAATCAAATAAAATAATATGACTGTAACCATGGTGCTCTCCAAGATCCCAATATTAATACCTACTTTCCTTTGAGAAGCATTACTGAATATTTACCGACAAGAGACATTAACAGTTTGGGAAGAGGAACATGTTTAAGAAAGCTTTTAGACAAGGTTTGAATAACATATGGTTTGCTTAACTCAGGGTAAGAAGCCCACAAATTAAGATAAGTTCCCCAATCTGATGGTATCTTCTCATTTAGAGTCTCTTGAAGGACATTTCCAAAATGTAATACAACTTTTCATACAACTGATGCATGACCTTATTTTCCAAAGACATTGATTTAATATTTGAATGCAATGGCATTTTACATCATTAGTATAGAATATTTAAGTTTATAAAAGAAAATGCCTTCATTTGTTTATGCATAAGCCCGTTAGAAAACATTTCTAGGGGCCCTTGTTATGTGTATTTTCTAGAACATAACCTAGCTTTGAAGTGGTGTATTAGATTTTAAAAAATCATTCCCAAGCTGAATATTTAGTCTGAAAACAAAAGCTATTCTGAAGAGTACATTCCACATAGCAAGCTATGCACATGATGCTTTGATTCAACTAATCTTCTAATAAAGCTGTGTTATTGTTTGAGGTCAACATACAGCGTGGCAACTTTTATTTTTGATGATGATTCCACCCTGAAACAATTTGCCCCCTGCCCAATTAAACCAGAATGAGGAGCACATTTCTATCTGATGAGGCTTAAACTTCTCAGCCACCCAATGCTTAAATGAAATCTTCAGCGGCTCTGTTCATTTTGTGTCTGTGCAGGAAGCTCAGACGAAACCAGAATCAATTCCCTTTAGTTTTTCTGGAAGAGGAAGGTTGCTTTTGTTGCTTTGATCTTAGCATATTGTGAATTTTTTATTGGCTATTGAATATAAAAAGCTGTAGCCTCATCTGTTTGTTTGTTTTTGCTATATTCTCATAATATAAATCACAGAGTGCCTTCCAATTGAACTGAAAATGCCTAGGTCCAAAATATCATTTTAAAATCTATTCATCATTATTGTTGATAGATTTCCAGGGTGTTGGGGGCTTATGCAGTGGATTGACTAATATCCCACTGACTGTTAAATGTCCATTCATGCATTTTAGACAATGAATTCCTGTATAGAGACACACTCTCATGCTTTTTCAGATTCCGAGGTTTTTTTCTACCATGGCAAGAGCTGTTTTAGTTAATGTAACAGCTGGTTAGGTTATTGCTTCTACAATACAATCCATAATGCAAAAGAAGCTCTTTTTCAAACATTTTGGAGCAAATAGAATTGTTTAAATGTCTCTTTTAGGTGGTTTCCCTATAAATTTGTGTCAGCAGGTATCATACAATTTGGTAAAATATTCATTAAATTGAGACCACTACACTTAGTTACATATATCTTACATAGAGATTTGTAGAATTTCAGTAACTCATTTGAGACCATCATCATTAAGGTCAATACCTGGTCTTAGAAAATAAATGCAAACTACAAAAATGGCATTGTGTAGTTAAACATCAAATAGTCCAAGTAATAAAAATCATAGATTAACTGCCTCTCAGTTCCGGTGAGATTCTTCAGATACTGACTCACAACCTGAGCACTGGTTCTTTCATCCGAAGAGTGCCTGTCCTTAAACTTGGGGAATTTCAACTCTTTGGGAGCGCCAATCAGCTGTAAAAAGTAATTGGCATCTTCTTCCAAGGTTTCAAATTTTCCTACAAAATCATAATTGATCCAGCACGGATAGCAGAGCTTGCTGACCTTTTCCCAGTGAATGTCCATTCCTACTGGCCGGTGGGAATCCAGCAGATAGTGGACGAACTCCTTGAATTTGACCCCAGACCCACTGTGTAATGCTTCTGCACAGGCATTTGGCCGGTATTTCTTTATAATTGCCTTCCCAAATACTGGATGGTAATAACTATTGGGATGCTCAAACTTGTCCCTAAATGCCGACACCAATCTTTCCATGGGATCTCGAACAAACACAGCCTTGGTATAGGTGTTTAAGCGAGTATGTATCCCTTTTAAGTCAAAACTGTCCAGCTTCTTCAAGTGCTTCCCATAGTGGACAGCATCGTGGGAGATGTTGTGTGCAGAGGGGGCCAATCCATTCAGTACCATCAGAACCCTTTTCCAGTTGGAACAGCCAGCCTTCGGTACTTCACAATATAAGATTCTGTGTTTATCTTCGACATAGATCCTGGATACCAGATGAAAAAGGTGTGCCTGGGGACGACTGACCCCAACATAGTTCTTACAAAATTCCCGAAGGAAAGACCTGCGTGTTTCTTGGGTTCTGTCTGTGTTCTTCCATTTGTCATCCTGGACTAAACTCTTATTTAAAGGGCGACTTTCCAATGGCCAATTCATTTCGCTGAACTTCCTGAAAAGGAACTTAGTTCCTTGAAAATTTTCGACTAGCTCATTCGTCAATGACCTTGTGGTTTTCTTCAAAGCTTGACCCTCTCCTAGTGTGGGGCTGATCTCTGCTAGGACTCCTGTAGACGTCTCAGAATTGACTAGAATCTTCTCTTTTTTCCCCTTTGGCTCCTCAGGCATGTGGTTCTTGGGGTACTGTTAAAATAGAGAAAGAGAAAGGTTGGTAATTCAATCATAAATATGGCTGTACCAGATGAAGAACATAGCATAATTGTTTTAAGATACAGTTAAGAAGAACATAGTTCATATCTGCTGGCAGAACAGTTTATCAATTTACACGGACGATGTCTTGTAGGATGCTTGTCTCTGGCAAATATAGCAATGAAAACAATGCTATCAACCAGATGGAGATAAAAGGGCCCTGGGGTTTTCTTCCTGGCTTAACTAGTAACTCCGCAGAATGTAACTCAGTCATTCAGCACGTCACTGGTTCTTGAACTATTAAGAAGTAGATTAACTTCAAGTATTGATTTAGTTAGCACATCTGACTCTAAGTATCACATGCTCTATCTGAATTAACTTGTTGTTGTTGGGGGCACTCTGAAATACACAGAACAGTTCAAAGTCACACATGGTGGCGAGGTCAGATTTAAAGTCCTCGTCACTGTCTCTGGTCTTAAGTAGTTGTCAAAAGTGCTGCATTTCTACTCTTGGAAAATGTTCTGCTTTGCTAAAGTCATTTATGATAGTGGTTTAAGAACTTTAAATATAGTAATACACATTTTCATTGTACTTTTCCTGAGTGAAGAGTGAAAGATCGAGTTTATGTCCTGCCATGTAAAATTTCATGAAAACAGAAGGAGGATGTAATTCTCTCTACCTGTCCTCTGTTGGCATCCGTCCCACAACTCTTACCGTTTCTGTACAAAGGAAGAAATAGAAAATGCAGTCTACCGGGTAGCAGGGAGCTTATAAAGTGGCATTTTGTTCTCTGATAGGGAGAGGAACTAGAAGGCTTTGGGCCTTTTCTCTGGACAAACTAATTAGAAAACTTTTAACAGGTGCTAAGCAGAGAACTGACATAATGTGACTGACATTCGAAAAGACCAAGTGTAGAGAACCCTGAACTAGAGCTACATGAATGTACATACATGCAGACATCAGCAGGTCAATGGATAAATAAATAAATAATGGGCGGTGGTAGACTCTTTCAGGCACCAGTCTAAAGTGTGGGGGGATTGTGGGAGAAACTTCCTTGAGGAGTTGGAAAAAAACAACAACCCCAAACCAAAAAACATTGCCATTATATCCCCAAGGTCATGAACTATGTCTAGAATATAATGTCAGTACATTTGAATAGAATGTTAATCCAGCCCTATAATGCCGAGTGCTACGTTTTGGTAACATTTAATTAAATGTATATATTAATATATATTGATACTATGAAAGTAAAGAATAAAAACAAACAAAAAAATTTTCCCTGAAATTAAAAATTCAGGCATTATAGGGCTAGGATAGAATGTTGTCCAGGAGATTGAACTGGTTCTGATTCATAGTGACCCTATATACACTACAGTGAAACACCGCCTACTCCTGCTCCATCCTCCCGATGTTCCTATGTTGAAGCTTATTGTTGCAGCTGCTGGGTCAATTCATCTCCTTGATGATCTTTCGGGGTTTGTTTTGTTTTGTTTTCACTAACCCTCTACATTATCAAGCACGAAGTCTTTCTCTAAGGACCGCTACCTTCTGAGAACACATCCAAAGTCCATGAGCTAAGTCCAGTCATCTTTACATCTAAGCAACATTTGGTCTACACTCTTTCCAATACAGATTTGTTCATTCCTCTTGGAACTCGTAGTATGTTCAATATTCTTGGCCAACACCAAAATTCAATTCAGTTCTTCTTTGGCCTTTTTTTTTTTTGGTCTCCAGCTTCTTTTGCTCATGTCTTGGGTCAGGCGCACCTTACTCCACAAAGTGCCATCTTTACCTTTGAACACTTTGAAGAGGCCTTGTGCAGATTTGTGCAAGGCAACATGTCATTTGATTGCTTGACTGTTGCTTCCATGGGCATTTATTGTGAATCCAAGTAAGAGAAAATCCTTGACAACTTCCTTCTTTTCTCCATTTACTCTGATGCTGTGTATTTTCTAGAACATGACTGTGAAAGTCCGTGGTAACTAGAGAAACAAATCCAGTGACACTCATATGTGTGTAAGAGAGAGCTTTATATCAAAGAGAAATTGTATATTGAGAAAACATTCCATCCCAGTTCCGATCAAGTCCATAAGTCCAATATTAGCCCACATGTCCAATACTAGTCCATACATTCCTCTTTAGACTCATGCAGCACATATAATGATGCTGAATGCAGGAGGATCACAGGCCAATGGGTGGAAAGTCATGTGGATCCAATGAGAGTGGAAGCATCTCAGCCCTGGTGTGGATCTCCACTTGGCTGCTCCTGCTCCAGGGCTCCGACTGCCAGCAGCATAGCTCCATGTGGCTTGTCAACAGGAATGTGAAGCAGAGACAGAATGTGTCCCACCTCCAGGGAGGAAGACCGGAGTTCCCAGAAGCCTCAGGAGAAAGCCATGCCCACACAGAAGCATGATTGACTGTGACCTGTTTGACAGGCAAGACTGCACCCCTTCCCTCTAGTTGACAGGAGATTACAGAATTGCCATAATAACCTATCCTCAGCTACTAATTTACATTTTGAGGATCAAGAGGAGGAAGAATTGATTCCAAGGCTTTGAAAAAAATGTAAACTTTTATATTTACTGTAGTTAATAAATATTCTGCAATTGTTTTGCATTCAACTTCTTTTAATATTTATTTTTCAGCCTTAACATGTAAATTAGTTGCCCTTTCACTGTGTCCCTTAGAGTTCTTGAGAATCTACTAACACATTGAGTTCTGTGCTAAATGTTAGGGACTAAGATTCTGGTAGAGGAGACTATACTAAACAAATAATTACACAATTACTTTATTACCCTAGTAGCAAGGATGTCCACCTCATGCCACGAGAGACTGGGAGAACAGAACAAGTACCAGGGCAAGCCTAACTTTGGCTAGTAAGTCCTGTGTTCAGTACTTGTTATAACAGCCAGGTAGCTGTTGTTATATTGGATCTTTTCATTATTAGCTCACCAGTATATTATAAATTAAATAAGGTCGCTATCCAGTTAATAAATCTATGCATCCCCCATCAACAATCTGGAGTCCCAGAATGGTACAGATGGCTAATGTGCTCAGCTGTGAACTAAAAGATTGGAGGTCTAAGTCCATCCAGAGATGCCTTTGAAGAAAGGTTTGATGATCTACTTGAGAATGAAAAAGCCCTCGAAAGCCCTCGGAGGGTCTCTCTGAGTAAGAGTTGATTTGATGGCAACTGGTTGAAGCACCTAGAATGATAACTTGCAACCACAGAAGTTTAAATTTTAATTAAATTGAAGAACAATATCATTCTTCTGTGGCTGTCAAGCTGTCGTGACTCTGAGACCTCACAGAACAGAGTAGAATTGCCTCCGAGGGTTTCCTAGGCTACACTCTTTGTGGAAGCAAGTGACCATGTCTTTGTTCCTGCAGAACTGTGGGTGAGTTTGTCCTACTAATCTTTCAGTTAGTAGCCAGACACTTCAACAGTTTGTCTCAGGACCCCTTTGCATTCTGGTTTCAAAAGCTCAATAACGTTAAGGTACCAATTTACCCCAAATTGTCCTACCTGTTCAACACTCAGAATATTGCCCTGAGTCAGAATGGATTAGAAGGTAATTGTTTTTGTTTGGATGTGATTGGATGTAGGTATTCATTTAGACTTACAAGGAGGTACTTTTGCGGGATCTAGATGCAGAGATTAGGACCCCAAAGCTGGGTTTGCAGATTTGAAAATTGTGGGTCAGATGAATTTATGGGCCTTGAAGGCACTGCTTAAAGGGAACAAACGTGATGATGTCTGCCATTTTCTAAATGCATGCTACATGCCATATTCATAAAACATACATTACCTACTACCAGACTGACCTCCAGGTTTTATGAAGAAATGGAGCCACAAACATATTAAAACCTAAAAACCTGACCCACTGCCCTTGAGTCTGTTCCAACTCACAGCGACCCTTTCTAAGGCTGTGACTCTTTATGGGGGTCCAAGCCTCATATTTCCCCCTTGCAGTGGATCGAACCACTGACCTTGTGGTTAGCAGGCCAATGAGTTTTAGTAAAAACAAACAAACAAGACCAACAATAACAACAAATACAGTTTAAGGGAAAGAGTTTAAATTCACAGGATAGTTTAGGGACCATTTTATTTTTAAAGACTATCTAAGACTTTCCTTTTCTTTGTAGAGAAGAGACAGAAAACTAGGATGGAATCTGAAGGATATCCCTGAGAGGAAAAGAGCGAGGCGAGGGAGACTTGACTATGAACGGGATTGAAAATGACTGGAATTCAGTGCAAATAAACGTTTTCTTTTTCTGGTTTGGATTTCATAAGGAGGAAAGGATGCTGTCTTTTCCCTTGTGCAAGAGAAGTCAAGCAGCACCATGATTTCAGTCTGCATTAGTAAGAAGTGTGGGTCACACTGAAAATCCCAGAAGCCTCTTGGCAAAACTCGAAATCCAAAGGCATAGATACAACGGTCCCTCATGTCAACTGCAGAGCCTGGTGTGGACCCAACGCGGGGATTTTGGAACAAGTTGGATCTTCTGCTTTTCTTAAGGCCAGGCAACAACAGCAGGTAGGGCACAGACTCCTGGGGTGGAGCCGCAGCTGTGCGCCCATCTGGCTATGGATCTATAAGTACGTTTGTCAGCCTTCTCAGTTACTTCACCTGAAACATGAGAACAATGGCATGGACTCCCTATCTCAAAATAGCAGTGGCAAGGATTAAGTGGGTTAAAAGAAGTAAAATCTTATAAAAGTAGTAGGCATACACTAAGTGATCTTATCATCATCATCTTTCAGGGACAATGAATTAACTTCCTACTCTACATTGTGGAAACATAAGCAATTATGTTTCCAGCTACCTAAGTGTCTTTAAGGCTGACAATAAATTTGTGCTAATGCTACCATTTCTGACAGTGTCCTACACAGTGTAAGTTATGCCTCTGTAGACCGTGGTGGACAGTTAGAAAGCACATTTGATCGTTATATTAGTGATTAGGCAGTGATTTCCATGACTACCACCGCT